TATTCCTACCCTTTGTTTCCTGTCTTTTAACCAGTTACTGATCCATAAGAGGACCTTCCCTCTTATCCCATGACCCTTTACTTTGCTTAAGAGACTTTGGTGGGGATCTTGCCAATGGCTTTCTGAAAGTCCAAGTACACTACTTCTACTGGATCACCCTTGTCCACAAGTTTCTTGACCCCCTCAAAGAATTCTAATATATTGGTGAGGCATGATTTCCCTTTACAAAAGCTATGTTGACTCTACCCCGAACATATTGTGTTCATCTATGTGTCTGATAATTCTGTTTTTTACTATCGTTTCAGCCAGTTTGCCTGGTACTGAAGTGAGGCTTATTGGCCTGTAATTACCAGGATCACCTCTGGAGCCTTTTTAAAAAATTGGCCTCACATTAGTTATCTGCCAGTCATATGGTACAGAGGCTAAGTCATAGCTTACATACTACAGTTAGCAGCTCTGTGATTTCATATTTAAATTCCTTCAGAACACTTGGGCGAATACCATCTGATCCTGGTGACTTATTTCTGTTTATCAATTTGTTCCAAATCATCCTCTATTGACATGTCACTTTAGGACAGTTCCTCATATCTGTCACCTAAAAAGAATGGCTCAGGTGTGGGAATCTCCCTCACATCCTCTGCAGTGAAGACCAATGCAAAGAATTCATTTAGCTTCTCTGCAACGGCCTTTCGCACCTCGATTGTCCAGTGGCCCCACTGATTGTTTGGCAGGCTTTCTGCTTCTGCTGTACTTAAAAACTAACAGCAATTTTTGTTGTGTCTTTTACTGTTGCTCATCTTTTTTGGCCTCCCTAATTATACTTTTACACTTGACTTGCGAGAATTTATGCTCCTTTCTATTTTCCTCAGTAGGATTTAACTTCCAATTTTTAAAGGATGTCTTTTTGTCTCTAACTGCCTCTTTTACTGTGTTATTTTGCCATGATGGCATTTTTTTTTTGTCCTCTGTTTTTTATTTTGGGTATACAGTTAGTTTGAGCCTCTGTCATAGTGTTTTTAAAAAGTGTCCATGCAGTTTGTGACTGTTCCTTTTAATTTCTGTTTAATTAGCTTCCTCATTTTTGTGCAGTTCTCCTATTTGAAGTTAAATGCTACTGTGCTGGGTTTCTTTGGCATTTTCCCCCATACAAGGATGTTACATTTAATTCCACTATGGTTGCTATTACTAAGAGGTTCAGCTATATTCACCTCTTGAACTAGATCCTATGTGCCATTTAGAACTAAATCAGGAATTGCCTCTCCTCTTGTGGGCTTCAGGGTTAGCTGCTCCAAGAAGCAGTCATTAATGGTGTCTAGAAATTTTATGTCTGCATCCCATCCTGAGGTGACATGTTCCCAGTTAATATGTGGATAGTTGAAATCCCCCATTATTATTGGGTTTTCTGTTTTTGTGGTCTCTCTAATCTCCCTGAGTATTTCACAATCATAGTCACCATCCTGGTCAGGTGGACAGTATGTTCCTACTGACATAATCTTCTTATTCAAGCATGGAATTTCTATCCATAGAGATTCTATAGTATTGTTTGATTCATTTAAGATTTTTACTGTGTTTGACTCTATGCTTTCTTTCACATACAGTGCCACTCCCCCACCAGTGTGACCTATTATCATGCCTACATATTTTGTACCATAGAATCATAGAACTGGAAGGGACCTTGAGAGGTCATCTAGTCCAGTCCCCTGCACTCAAGGCAGGACTAAGTATTATCTAGACCATCCCTGACAGATGTTTGTCCAACCTGCTCTTAAAAATCCCCAATGATGGAGATTCCACAACCTCCCTAGGCAATTTATTCCAGTGCTTAACCACCCTGACAGTTAGGAAGTTTTTTCTAATGTCCAACCTAAACTGCCCTTGCTGCAATTTAAGCCCATGGCTTCTTGTCCTATCCTCAGAGGTTAAGGAGAACAATTTTTCTCCCTCCTCCTTGTAACAACTTTTATATACTTGAAAACTGTTATCATGTCGCCTCTCAGTCTTCTCTTCTCCAGAGTAAACAAACCCAATTTCTTCAATCTTCCCTCATAGGTCGTTTTCTAGACCTTTAATCATTTTTGTCGCTCTTCTCTGGACTTTCTCCAATTTGTCCACATCTTTCCTGAAATGTGGTGCCCAGAACTGAACACAATACTCCAGTTCAGGCCTAATCAGTGCGGAGTAGAGCGGAAGAATTACTTCTCGTATCTTGCTTACAATATTCCTGCTAATACAACCCAGAATGATGTTTGCTTTTTTTGCAACAGCGTTACACTGTTGACTCATATTTAGCTTGTGATCTACTATGACCCCCAGATCCCTTTCCACAGTAGTCCTTGCTAGGCAGTCATTTCCCATTTTGTATGTGTGCAACTGATTGTTCCTTCCTGAGTGGAGTACTTTGCATTAGTCCTTATTGAATTTCATCCTATTTACTTCAGTCCATTTCTCCAGTTTGTCAAGATCATTTTGAATTTTAATCCTATTCTCCAAAGCACTTGCAACCCCTCCCTGCTTGGTATCGTCCACAAACTTTATAAGTGTACTCTCTATGCCATTATCTAAATCATTGATGAAGATATTGAACAGAACCAGACCCAGGACCGATTCCCCCACTTGTTATGCCCTTCCAGCATGACTGTGAACCACTGGTAACTACTCTCTGGGAATGATTTTCCAACCAGTTATGCACCCTCCTTGTAGTAGCTCCATCTAGGTTGTATTTCCCTAGTTTGTTTGTTATGCGAGACAGTATCAAAAGCCTTACTAAAGTCAAGATATACCACATCTACTGCTTCCCCCCATCCACAAGGCTTGTTACCCTGTCAAAGAAAGCTATCAGGTTGGTTTGACACGATTTGTTCTTGACAAATCCATGCTGACTGTTATTTATCACCTTATTATCGTCTAGGTGTTTGCAAATTGATTGCTTAATTATTTGCTCCATTATCTTTCTGGGAACAGAAGTTAAGCTGACTGGTCTGTAATTCCCCGGGATGTCCTTATTTCCCTTTTTCTAGATGGGCACGATATTTGCCCTTTTCCAGTCTTCTGGAATGTCTCCCGTCTTCCATGACTTTTCAAAGATGATTGCTAATGGCTCAGATATCTCCTCAGTCAGCTCCTGGAGTATTCTAGGATACATTTCATCAGGCCCTGGTGATTTTCTGTTATTGTTTTTCCCCCCTCATTGAGTAACAGGCCTACTCTGTCCTGGGTCTTCCTCTTGCTTCTAATGTATTTGTAGAATGTTTTCTTGTTTCCTTTTATGTCCCTAGCTAGTTTGATCTCGTTTTGTGCCTTGGCTTTTCTAATTTTGTCCCTATATACTTGCGTTATTTGTTTATATTCATCCTTTGTAATTTGACAGAGTTTCCACTTTTCGTAGGACTCTTTTTTGAGTTTTAGATCATTGAAGATCTCCTGGTTAAGCCAGGGTGGTCTCTTGCCATACTTGCTATCTTTTCTACGCAGTGGGACAGTTTACCCACACAAAACAACAAAAAATATTTCCATTGATAATAATCCAAATTTACAGATGGGCAAAGTAACAAAAAATACTGCTTGAGAACTAATTAGAGTTTGATTTAAGAATATTTATTTTGTATATTTTGACATGATGGTGACAATTTGGGTTTTAACGGTTATAAAACTTTAATTTTTTTGAATCACAATGTCTCCTCTCATTAAATAATTACTGTCTGACTCACTAATGTCTGACCCCCTACATAACTTCCCACAACTGTGAAAACTTAAATAAATATAGGAAAAGGTGCTTAAAATAAACATGGATATTATCCATTGAAATTATTTTAAAAAGTTGAATTTTGCCAAGCTTGGCAAAGGCACTATATAAAATTAGTTATGGTATTGTTTCCAGAAGGGATTAATTAAGCTGGAAGTTCATCAGGCATGCCATTTCCCATTCAATGCATGTTAGTTTATACTTGCTTTTACTGATTAGTAATGCCTCGGAGGTAAAAGCTATGTGAGCTTACATAATAGTGCTCTGCTAACATTGGAAGCATACAGTGCATCCAAACTAAGAGACAAATTAACATTAACTTTGTTCTCAGCTGCGGATAAGCTGCCCTAGTCGTCTTTGTGAAAACGAATGTACATTCCAATGGGGAAAAAAAATGTTTTCAGTTTGGAATCCCATTCCTCCTTATTACACTTGTCATTTCTCTTAGTACGTCTGACTGACAGGCTCAGAGCAAGGTTTGGCAAATACCGCTGTTGAGATTTCCTACCTACTTTACAGTTTTCTCTCAATAAACAAAAGGTCTCCAATAAAGTCATTTTTTATTTGAGCGAGTTTATAAGTGATCTGGAATAAACACCACTATGCAGCCAGGACATTAGACACATACATTTGTATTTCATGAACTCTTGGAAAGAGACAGAGGTAATATTTTGAGCACATAATCTAGTCTATATAATGCTTTTTTCAAAGCATTATGGACCTGATTTTCAGAGCACCCATATCTCCAGTTGAAGTTAATACAAAACACATGCTAGTTTAGTGACCACATATGTTCTTTCATTATTCATCATACTACAGCAAGTCTCTCTCTCAAAATATGGCAAAGAACTGTAAATTAATTGTGGTGTTTTGTATGACTTGCAAGTTACATTCTTTCAACTGATTAGATTTAGTTTATGGTATGGTGGCTGATTCATACTAATTTGTTTAGTTTCAATAAAAAATCATTTTTTAAAAATGAAAAATATAAAGTCATTTCAAAAGGTAGTTTGTAAGCAAACAATATTTCTGTGGGTTATTCTAGCAAGATGTTCCTATTGATCCAGAACTCTCTTCAGCTAAAGCCATGTTTTTCTAACCATGTTCATAAATCCATCACAAATATTAATGCATTACAGCGCTGTCTACAATAGTCTTTGCACTTACACAACAACTTAGTTACAATAAAAAGGTGGTTTTGTTGCCTCATTTAGGACACTAGATCTATTATTTTGAGCAAATCATCGCACTCACTTACCTTGAGACAACCAGTGGTAGAATCAACATTTTCAGCATCCTCATCAATAACTCCCCAGGGAATTGGAAATAACTAATTTCCTACAAATATATGGAGAGATGTGTTTATGGTTTTGATGTGTAAGATTGTCTTTCTTCACAAAGCACCTTACAGCTGCTGGTAAAACTGAATGATCTCATAAAATTGTACGATCAGTTTATATTACTTGCAACTACTGCATATCATTTCAAGTGGTACAGACGGAAGAAGTTGGGGAATTTTTTTTAAATGACTAAGGCTATGTAATGTGTTCTGATTCCGGAGAAAATAAAATAAGCTTTGCTTCACTCAGGGACACTTTGAAATATTGTGGATCTAAAAAACAAACAAACAAAAAACAATTCTGCCTTAGCAGTACAATGAAATAGGTGCTAGTGATAATTCATTTGCCACAAACACATGTCCTAATAATCAGTAAAATCTCCATCCCCTTCAATGGTTTCTCCATATTAATTGAATTGCATTGTGCATCTGCATGCCAAAGCAGTCAAAAATTAAATAAATAGACCCTTTATGGACCACTATTAATAGTTTTTGCTGCATAATCTCTTTATTCTGCGTTTTGCACATTTCACTCTATGTGCATGAAGCTACTGTTTGGACATAGAAGATTTTCAACTCAGGGCCAGCAGCAGAAGATGACAAACCTGGTTTAATGATCACATATTTTTGAAGTACCATAACTTGTTTAAAATATTAAAATTTATATTCTTGGGGAAAAACATGTTCAGCAATGCATTTGTCACTGCCTGTCTGGTCTGTCAGGCTATTCTGGATAGGAAGAATTGAGCACCTACAAACAGATTAGTAGAGGTGTGTTTGAAGAGAAATACCCTGGTGAATGTAATAACTTGTGCTTTTATTAATGGGACATCCCAGTTCAGTTCTTATAAAATATACTCAGTGTGAAATAAATATCTGTAACTCTGGATATGTTAATCATAAAAAGTTCCCTAGTGTTTTAATTGGAAATACATGTTCTAATACAAATTCAGATAGAATGTACTCTGACACCAGTTAACATGCTACACTGTTACCATTTCCATACAGTACAATGCAGTACTTCATTCAGTTTCAGAAGCCAGTATTTTTATTCATACATGCAACATTACAATGTGCTTCTTAAGGTACACTTGCAGTGTCTTATTGACAGTTTATCAACATATATTGGATATAAAATCTATGGAAGGACCCAAAGAAAACAAGGTAGGCTCCTATCAAAATACTGCCACACTAACAAATTAATTTTTATCTTGAAATACCCATCCTTGAAGTTCCATAGGTTGTTTTATCTCCTATTTTGTTACATAACTGACATTTTCTGCCCAGCATCACGCTCATTTGTTACTGACCTGCTGAGAGAGCCGCCTGGTCCTGAGGAAGAATCCAAGAAGACATCCCACTATGACAGACAGTACTGACAGAATGAGCAAACCATTTCTTTTACAAACATCCTTGACCCGAGCCAGCATTGCATCAAAAGCCACTGCCATGCTGTCCTCAGTGCTCTTTGGAGAAGAATCAGCATCCCATGGAGAGAGACCTCACTAGCTTCCCTTGTTAGAATAGACAGCTCTAGCTTTGTATAGATCAGATCAAAGCACTTCCAGGACTGCTTAGCTGACCTGCAAGGTCACCCCTCTGCCAATAGCCACGAAGCATGCAGCTGGCGTTATTGTTCCAAATTAATACCAACAATCCTATTATTGACTACATCATTAAGAACCTGGAAGAAGATTAAGGAGCTCTGGAAAATTAGAACAGAATGTAGTAGTATTTCTAAAACAAGAGTGAGTCGAAACAGAGTGACACCCACATGAATGAAAAATAATATTTTCATGCATTCCTCAACCCTTGAAGCATGGTCTCCTAACATCCAGGCCTAGAAAGGAAGTAGTGAAAGTTATGCATTTAAATGGACAGAAATTATGTTTTTCATACAGTACATATACTAAAGGGCAGGGCAGGTAACACTTTGAACTGGACTATCATAACAGGGCAGGGCAGGTGAGACTGAACTTCATTAACTAAAGCAGGTCTGGTTTATACTTTTAGTAAATGTGGTTAGCAAAAGGCTGGGCAAGTACAATAATAAACTGCATTAACAAACTGAATATTACTGGAGAAAAACATTAAAGGGGACTCTACAGTACTTTGCATTTTTTATCTTGGGAATGAAATGATTTCACTTTCCCCCCTTCCACTGTGTTGATTAGAGCAGGGGCCAACTTACTTTCAGAGGATTATCAGCCTAACCCATATGGATCTTTCCTTTCTTTTGGTATGTCTAATCATCCCATTCATTCAATTCAAACATAGATTTTTATGCTCTATAATGAATGTCTTGAAAAATTATACTATCACAACCATCCACTAAACTATAGCAAACCATATTGTTAGTACAGTGTTTGGATCATAACTCTAGCATTCTGAAGTGTTTCTATAAACAATCTATAACACTGTACAGTATATTTGGGGGATTTATAAGATTATATTTAGCACTCTATTATATTATAGATGAGCATACTATATACATGATCACTGTAGAAAATCCCATGACAAAATTAATAATTATGTATTCAGTAGAGAGTTTGTATGGTAAATATGGCATGGGGCCATACGCTGAATGATGGGACCAAAAAGAAATATTGAATATAAATAAATAAATAAATAAACTATAAGTAAAGTAATGAGCAGTGAGCAGCCTCCCTTCATCTTGTGCACTGAATGAGGCAAGATCCGGGGGGGGGAGAGGGGGAGTGTGTGATTATGTAATTAAAGACTGTATCACAAAGCATATGCACAAGAAGGCCAAATTAAGGTTACACAGGCAACCTTAATTCTGGAGCAACCTAATTTTTGGGTGCTTGACTTTGCAATCTTAATATTCTTTTAACATAGATTTTTTAAAATTTAATTTCTTTTTAAAAAAAGCAAACAGAAATTCTACTGTGTGGAACCATATTGACCCTCACATAGGTCACTGCAGAGCTGGAACTTAGCTCCACAGCACACACTTTTGTCACTTGAGCTAACAGTGCAATTCAATAGCAGTAGCAGGTTGTTATCTGCGATGTGGGCCAGCAACTAGAAGGGGACGTGACACACACTTTAGCAGTGGGTTTTCACAGTTATTTACCAGACAGAAGAGTAATGCTGAGACTCAGGACTCCTAGATTCATTTCAGGTTCTGGAAGAAAGTGTATCTAGTGGTTACAGACCCTTCTTTTCCTGTCCACCCACCCATAGTATGTGTCATAACAGCCTTTCTCTTCCTCATCTCTGCCCTCACAGCCTGTCTCTGTCCTTGCCACTGCCTCTATCCCCCGCAAGCTTGTCTCTGCCCATTCTGCCCCATCCTATTCCACCTCTGTCCTCCTTCCCACTGCCTGTCTCTGCTCCCATCGCCCTATGGCATTCCAGTTAGGCAGCTTCCTCCTTCTCCATGCAGCCCCTGGGCACCATCAGCAGGATCACTGACAGCACAGAAAAGACAGTTTCCCTACTCTCAGTTCCTGCATCTGATGTTACAGCGACTCCTCAGTGCTTGGAGGAGCAAATGCAGAGAAAGTTGTGCGCAGACCAGGTTTTGAGCATGCCCAGTACAGACAATCATCTGAGAATTTAGCTGCCAAACTAACTAGTTTCTCCTGAGTATGTGCAAAATTCCATTATTTTTTTCCAGAGGCTTATAACTTGGCCAAATTTGGATGGATTTTTACAGGGATGGGAAAAAGGCCAATCCCTGACACAAGGGTGAATCCCCATGCCAAATTTCATGTCTCTGCTCTAAAGCCTGGAGGCACAAGAGCTCAATGAAACAGTTGTAATAATTTTTTAATATGGGCTAAAGACCCAAAATATTTTCCCCAACATCATTTTGGGAAATAGCTAAATCATTTTGCTGAAACATTAAAAAAATATTCAGCCTCAAGACAGACACCCAGCATAGAAAATTTCAGACCACATGATTAAAGTTTGGCAGAGTTATAAACAACTAAAACCAAGGTCTTATAATGGAAGATGTTGGGCAGCCTTAAATAGGCATCACTACCTGCACCACCCATCATAAAGAAAGCTACAGGGCCTGATTTTCAGAGGTGTAGATAGCACCCACACTTTCCATTGTCTTCAACTGGATTTGTGGGTGCTTAACTCCTCAGAATATCAGGTCCACATAGGCCATCGTCAAATGGTCTATGTGGAATCCAGGCTTCTCCCACTCATGCTCCTGCCTGCCCACTCACCGTCCCCATGTGGGCAGGGGAGTAGCTGTCAGATGGCAGCTGTTCTGTCCCCCATGCTGTAACTTATGAGACTGATGGCCTGTGCAGGGGAATAAGAAGGCCCTTTATACCCTCTAAGGGTATGTCTACACTACAGGATTAATCCGAATTTAGATAATTCGAATTTGGGAAACAGGTTGTATAAATTCGATTGTGCGCGGCCACACTAAGCACCTTAATTCGGTTTTTAACCACATTAATTCGGTGGTGTGCGGCCACACTACCCCATTAACTTAAAGACAGTAATTCGGTGGTGTGCGGCCACACTAACCTTAATTCGAATTAACAAAATCGATTTAGGCGTTACTCCGCTCGTCGAGGTGGAGTACAGAAATCGATTTTAAGTGCCCTTTAATTCGAATTAACTGGCTCTGTAGTGTGGACGGGTGAAGGGTTAATTCGGATTAACGCAGCTAAATCCGAATTAAAGTCCTAGTGTAGACCAGGCCTAAATCACTTGAAAAGGCACCTACCACATATCACAATTTGGTTCCATTATATATAGTTTGTTTTCCCTCTTCATTTCCCCTTTGTTTTCCCTCTTTGTTTCATCCTCTAGGGTGAAATGCACCCCAGTGCAAAATTCTAGTATAAGACTTTCAAAATAGGCCTAATTTGGGATATAAGTAGTCCATGGGCCTTGTGCAGGTCCACTATAGAGAGGGGAATTTTATTCCTAGTGAGTAACAGTAATAAAACATATTAAGGACAACTGTATTTTAACTATGTGCAGTTACCACCATGGTCCCCCCTACCCCCAGAAAAGTTGTTGCAGCAACATGAACTTTCATAAAGGTTTTTGGAAGAATGTTAGATGTTCTGAATACAACACCTATAAAGGAGTTAATTTCTAGAGCCAGCACCACTCAGTTGTTGCTATCTATCAGTGTCATCTCTGGCTATAACCAGTAAATAAGAATTTGTTCTGATAATGCATTGATTATGAGCCTAATTTTGAATTCTTTGTGCACTTAAAATTGTCACAGATTTCAACAATATTGATTGCACGGAGGTGGAGTTTCTCTGAAATCATTCTAAATGGTCTTTCTTCAGGTGGGAGAAGGTATTCTATCTCTTACGCTTGTGTAATTTAATTTAGTATTTAATAAAATTTATTATTTTTCTACCTCATCTTATGCCAAACACAAAAAAGATACTAGATTAAATTAATGTTTCAGCTCTACAAATGCAGAATTAGAACACAGATCTCTGAATGAACATAAGAACAGCCATACTGGGTCAGACCAAAGGTTCATCTAGCCCAGTAGCCTGTCTTCCAACAGTGGCCAATGCCAGGTGCTTCACAGGAGATGAGCAGAACAGGTAATCATCAAGTGATCCATCCCCTGTTGCCCATTTCCACCTTCTGGCAAACAAAGACTAGGGATATTATCCTTGCCCATCCTGGCTAATAGACATTGTTGGACCTATCTTCCATGAATTTATCTAGTTCTTTTTTGAACCCTGTTATAGTCTTGGTTGACTATGTGTTGTGTGAGGAAATACTTCCTTTTGCTTGTTTTAAACTTGCTGCCTATTAATTTCATTTGGTGACCTCTAGTTCTTGTGTTGTCAGAAGGAGTGAATAACACTTCCTTATTTACTTTCTCCACACTAGTCATGATTTTATAGACCTCTATCATATCCCCCCTTAGTCGTCTCTTTTCCAAGCTGAAAAGTCCCAGTCTGATTAATCGCTCTTCATATGGAAGCTGTTCCATACCCCTAATCATTTTTGTTGCCCTTTTCTGAACCTTTTCCAATTCCAGATGGGGTGACCACATCTGCACGCTGTAATTTTAGCATCAAAGATGTTAAGAGATGGAAAAGGCCCATTACTAGCAGATCATCTTGCTCACATCCTTATCTATCGAGGATTACTCTTAATACTGTACCCTGTTGTGTCCAGTTACAATATTTCCTGTCAAACATACTTTAAGTTTGTCTTACTTTTCTGCTTAGGTATGCTCCAAATTAATGCATAGGATTGCAAATAAATCTTTGCTCTAGTCTCAATTCTGCTACTGACTCGTATGACTTTGGGCAAGTGACTTAATTGTGTAGTGCCTCGGTTTCCCCAAATATAAAATGACAGGATACTTCCCTACCTCGGAGGGGCAGAGTGAAAATTAGTTTATGAATGTTTGTACAGCACTCTAATATCCTCCGATGGAAAGCCCCAGGGAGTGCAAGGTATTATTGTTGTT